AGAAAACAACTCAAATTTTTGATCCTTTGTTTAGTCTGCGTTTAGCTGCACTGCACTATCCCGTGAATACAAAGCAAACTAGATCAAGTAACTCAACCCAACCTGACCGATTAACCAACCACCCACGCAGATGAAAACCATGAAGAATGGGACTGGTAGGGAAAGGAGAGAAATGGTTTTTGGGATTCTTCCTTTTACATGAATAGTTCTTATACCATAGGTGACTTGCACTAAAGTCTGTGACAAATGTAGAAAGTCTGAGTTAGCAAGTCTAGGCTGCAGCCCAGAATATGCAGTTTTATAAGCATCCCAGGTGATTCTGATGCAGATGATCTATGGGCCACAGTTTTGAAAGTTGAAGGAGGAAGTAACAGAGGATGTTTTTGATGGAGGACTTCCCTCTCTAGCTTCATGCTAAAGATGTCCTCATTTACCCTCAGTGGCTGGAATCTCCGACTGGGGAAGGAGTGGATGAAATTGTGGGAAATTGCCCATTTTCGTTTCTTTTTAAATTCAAGCAGAGAGTATACAAGCTGAAAGATTTGTTTGGGGCTGTTTTGAGGACCAAAGAAGTCAATCAAGAGATAATAAAGAAGCTAGTATTGGTAAGAGATGGCTGATTAGGAGCCATCTCCTTAAGGTGTTCCCTTCCTTAGTGTTAGACAAACTTGGGTCACATGCCCCAGCAAGCTGTGTTTTTAATGGAAAAAATAGAAAGTTAGAATGCACGTGTAGGGGAAATGAAATGTAAATCGTCCCTCTGGGGAGTGGGGTTTGGAATCTTGCTGAGCATTTGATGCAAATGATAACTGTGCATGTGCGCCCAGGTGTTCCTTGGCTATTGTCTGTGGGTGCATGTGGGCACCCAGGTGTTCCTGGGTTATTGGACTTAAGTATAAAGGACAAACAGCTCTGATCCACAGTGTCCTCGGGATGCTCCAAGAGGCCACCAGGGCTGCTGCTGCTAGCTACGTGAGCTTGCATATGAATAAAGCCTATTAATTTTTACCCACGGCTCCCAGGATCTTTTCTCTATTACTTAGTTCATGGACCTGCAGATGAGGGGTTTGTGACACAGTCTGTACAGTGGGTTGGAAGGGTCTGTGGGCCCTAGCCCTAGCAAGACAACTGGCTACATCAGCAGGATTCTGACAGTTGCCTTAACCATACAGCACATCATTGCCTAAGTGTAGGTATCGTTCTGTGAAATCGTTGGTGTGTGTGCATGTGGATTGGTACTGGTTTGTGATGTAAAATTTGTTTCTTACTGAGAGTCAGAGTCAAACAATCCAGTAACATCTGCCCTACTCTGTAATGACTCGGGGGAGATATTCTAAGTTCCTGTATTTCTGAGAATTTCTTTGATGTGTGAGTGATGTGGACCACACTGCTCAGTGGGGCATGTGCGGCAATTGGCAAGAGCTCACAAAATTCATTTCCTCACCAGTCTGCTGCCCTGCAGCCCAGCGTTAATCTGTTTAAATAAAAATGAAGTAGGCAGGTGAAAGACACTGATGCCCATAACGAGATTACATTAGTGGGAGCTGGCGAGAAAGCATGCTTGTTTTTGGAAGTATTAGTGGAGAGATGAGGGAATATTGAATTAGAAAAATTGGAGGAGAACGTTGATTGGAAGGAAGGATCCAGATGCAGGAAATCTGG